CAACTCCAACGAACCTCGTGAAGTGATTGACAAGACAACACTGCAAGCGTTGCCTCTACGTGCCTACGCCATCGAATCCATAGTCCGCAGACAAGGATCTTAGCATTAAATGGCGTTGATTGACTGATTGATTGACGTTAATAAGGACCATTGGATCTAATGTACCCCATGCTTGGCCATCCAACGGGCCTGATTCCCCGTTACGCTTAGTATAAAAAGCCACACTTAACACCATGGAAGAATAATGCAAGTTTGCACATCCAAAGTAAAACTCGATTCTCTCTATTGCACTCAACGGCCGACCCCTTTATGCGAAAAGCAATTATAACATCAACATATAAAAAGTTGTGGATCCTTCCCTTCTTTGATTCATCAATGAAAGCAGTTGCTAGATTCGAGCATGTTGCAATTCGATTCACAAAGACTAGAATCTCTTATTTTTTGTTGGCCACGAGTTAGAACCATTTTTTGGGGTCTACAAGTACATCAGCCATCAGGGTAAGTAAAGACATTGTTCTTTGATCTCATGACGCAGTTTCAGGACATGCTAGCTAATCATGTCCATGTTGTTCAAAGCTGTGGCAATCTGTGCCAGTCTTCTGCACCTCAACAACACCCAGAAATGGCTTTGCTCCTAAATTTGTCTCTCTGATATACTGTTGCTGTGCCTCACTATATTCACCCCCATTAAACTTGCAGGCATTGCTTCTTACAGCAACTCTGCAGCTCGTAAAACACATCATCCACCAAGGATGCGGTGAGACTATCTAGCACATGCTCATCGACTTTGATGGCTTCCCTCACATTTTTGGCCGTAAAGAATCCTTCCAAAATGACGGTAAGAACCAGCAACATCCCGCCCAACATTACTGAGATTACCACTCCTAAAAGCATTTGGGGCTTGGGGAACCAATTCTGGATCCACAGAGGTCAAGCTCCTTATTTTGATCAGTGTGTACTCATTACTCAGTGTAATCCTCAACCAACAACGTCATCGACAGTATCTCTTCCAGAGGAAACTCAATATCTTAAGCTGAGAGCAAATTACTCTTATACGAATAGAAATTAGTGTCGATTTTGCTAACTTCCCGTACTCTCGTGTATATTCTTAAAATGGTAAATCCCCTTTAATCACATTCCTCAATGAAGCTCACAAATGGCATAAACAATGCTATACTCGCCACACAAATTCATCAAAATTCACGATGGGTGAATGCAATTCAGAGTCTGAATTCATGAAACAATTCAAATCTTATGAACAAAGGAGAGATGAATTACTATGAGCAGAAAATGTAAATTTTAAGATCATCAAATAAATTCTCGGCATAATATCCAGTTAGAAATCAAATAAAAATGAAGGAAAAGGTTGGGAAAAACAATGCCTCCAATAAAAATACGCACAAAGATGCTGATTGCAAATCATGGATCAGTAATTTCTCAATCCATTTTCACTCTTTTTGCACTTTGAACATCTGGGATGCCGCTGACTCTGCTGGGATGTTGTATCATGCAGAAATGCACAGTTTACTCCATTCCTACAACCCATTGGACTCTTCAAAGGCCTCATCTTAGATTTCTCTCCTCTTGGTTTCTTAGGATTTGCAGGTTCTTGAATTGTCTGACTACATAAATGGGGCAAAGTTTCTTGTCTTTCTCCACCATGTTGTTGTATCAGGCTCTTGTAATAGTTTACGTCTTTAGTTCTAGGAGATCCTAGAGATGCAGAAGGAGAGCCTGATAAAACATTGGCTACAGATGGACGGAAACTGGGAATGGTTCCCATGTTATTTTGAGGATGATAGAAAGGTCGGATTGGTGGAGCAGAAGGTAGATCTCCTTTATTGAAGATTATTGGATGTGGATCATATAAATTATTAGCCAAAGACCTTGAGTCGGGCATACTTGGTGGACAGGTAGATGGCAAATTATGCAAGCTGAATGATGACACACTCTGCATGCACAAGGATGGTATATTTTGCGAGCCAATGGCTTGTATATTCTGCAAGCGGGATGAGGGAATATTCAGCAAGCTAGAGGAGAGCACATTGTGCAAGCCGGAGGAGGGCAAATTCTGCACAATGGATGCTGCTCTGGGATTCTTGGTGAGTTGTTCGATCATTTTTCGTTCACAGAGAAGTTTTACAAGCCAGTTTCGATCAATTAATTCCTTCAGATCAATGTTCGCCATAACTGCAGTCATGGCAGCTTTTGCTGCTGCTACAAGATCAGACTCAGTGACTGTTGATGGGAATTGAGCACGAGGAATGGTAGCGCCACAGCCCTGTTGTGGGTTTGGTGCCATGTAGTCAACTGATGACGTATCTAGCTCCACATCCTCGTCTTCAATAGGAGTGATCGGAATCAGAAGAGTGTTTCGGTCATACAGAAAAGAGTTTTCCACTCTTACTAATGCATAAGGGCTGCACAAGGATAAAAGCAAATGTATAATTCAAAGAACATAAAAAGAAAATAAATGAAAACTTATGAAAAAGAGAGACAAGAATTGTACTTAGAAGGGATAAGAGAAGGATGTGTATAAATAGCTTCAGGTACTCTCATCTCCCGTTGGTTTTGAGCTTCCAATTCTTTGCTTTCTTCCCCAGCAACCACTTGCCATGCACCATCTACTACAAACTGCAAAGGAATAGGAGGAAAAATCTATAGTAGTCGTGTAAGACATGGCTTCATCCTACATACTGTGCTATAATTCTGCAGGGGAAATTTCTCAAACCACCCACCCCCTTCTTTATAAATAAATGAAAAAAAAAAGAACTACTTGGGCCTTCTCCTCCTGCATGGAGTACAAAGAAAGTAGTACAATTTGGAAGAGTAGATATATCAGAGGATGTGGGAAACCATAATATCTCCAATTAGCGAAGGCATAGTTTGAACATTTTAAATGTGTCAATTAGTAGAAAGACCAAGTTTGAGAATCCTGTCCTGAAAGTGAGTAACTTATTCTCACTGTTTAGAGCCCAACCCTACTACCCCTTTCTCCCCAAGGATAATGCAAATGTTCTAACAACTACGATAAAACATTATCATTGTCCCCACCCTAAATCTTAAACCTGAAACAGCTTTGTGCTTAAATTAATAAAAAATGTCAAGAGGACATGAACAAAGGAACTCACTTGAGGAGGGCATCTCCATTTGACAAGAGGTATTTTGGACAACTTATTCCTCCAAAGATTTGGTGTCTGGATTCTTTCAAAGCCAGGTGGAAAATCGTCATCGGATTCCAAATCCCCCGAGTTGACTCGTGATGGAGATTCTTCTGATGAAAACAACTTTACCTATTGAATGCAAATTATTCCATCAAGCAGTGAAATAAGCTTTATACCTAATTAGGTAACTCATTTTAGTCAATCAACAGATATTAGTCTATAATAAAGATGAAGTATTCCACAAACGATGAGTCGTAGAATGCTTGATTTATGGAGATATATTCTATAGTACACGAACAATTAGAAGAAATATACGAAACTAGTTGGCATATCAGACTTAACATAAATAGCACTCTTACATTAAGCATATAAAGTAGCACAGTGAAAAACCCAACTGGAATAACCATTAACCTTTCAGCACACCTAAAACAACCCACTCATCAAAAAGAACTTCATAACTCGGAGAGATTTCTGTGTCTTTTGCACTTAAGCAGGTACAAGTACACCTATCTAGCCCCACTTTCAACCGACTTGTATAACTCTGACAGATTCACTCATTAGTATAACACATACTGTGGGAATTGGTAACACGGGCTCCACCATATCCCTAATCCAAAACTCTATCCTCTTGGAGAGAAAGTAAGCAATAATCCATCCATGCGAAGAATATAACCAACATAAATTAAAGACGAAGCATATAAAAAACATAGCAATTATATCGTTCGTCTCAATCTTTTAAAAAACAACAAATTAAGTGAAATTCTAAATAAATTTGGTGTCGGCTATGTGCATCATTTTTTCACTCCGTTTATTCCATAGTTACACCTAGTAGAATATCTAATGCAATCAATTCCTTCGCAACCATAAAAAGTCATGTTCATTTTGGTCTTCTAACCTACTTCAAGAAGATCATACCTTTATAATTGTTGACCTCAATGAAACCAGCATATCCATCGCCACCTTGTCTAATCACCCTTCTTGAGCCTTTTCCAGTCACCAGAGCACCAAGAGAGCTACTTTACCTAAGAAGCACCGACACGAACACTCGTGTCGGACATGCCGACGTGCGATTTTTCGAAAAAGTTCCGACATGATAAGTCGCCGACACGTTGATTAAAATATTAAGAAAGGGGATTTGACTTCCTTTGTAAGTTTGATTTTGTATTGGGGTAAAATTGGAAAAAAATTGATCCACATGAAAATATACTTTTTGGTTTGTTAAAGGGTAAAACTGGAGAAGAGAGACTATCAAATAGATATAGGAAAAGAAAATTTTGCGCACCCAACACATTTGAATTGAAAAGGAGAATTCAATAATAGGTTTATTGTCCAAACATGTCTTCATTTTCAAAAGCGATACAAATGACTTCATTTTCAAAATCTATCCAAACACGCTTCTTAATTTCTTCCTCCTCGACCATCTCTGACTCTCTGCATTTCTTCCACCCTTCTCTACATTCCTTCTTCATCAGTGTAGTAGCATCTAATTTTCCTTACCGTTTTCAATGAAACTCTTCTTCCTCAGCTGCTGACTTCATTTCTTCTTCTTTTTCAACACGCTGCAAGGGACCTCTTACACGCGTCAATGACGTTTCGAAGATGTACCGGTGTTCGATAAGCGTCAAACACTGATATGCCGATGGCAACGTGTCGGTGCTTCCTAATATTTTACTGTGTTGATTGCTGCCAAGGTCTAGATGAAAAGCAAGAATTGGCTAGGGTTTCTAATTTTTATCTTTGTGGCTTTCGGGGGTGTTCATAGCCTATGTTGCTCGGACTCGGGTGCGAGTGTCGGATACGGNGGGATACGGTTAAAAAGGATCCGAATTTTGGATACGAGTACGGGGATACGTCTTACAAAATATTGTTAAAAATGACAAAACAATTATTTTATTTTATTGTAGTACAAGTATTTTTAGTTTTATAATTAATAATATTGAATTTGTGATCTTTAATTACTATATAAAATGTTGACATAAATAAAAATAAAAAATAAAATTTGTCATAAAATTAATTTAAGCAATTGGATTGTAATTTGAAATTAATTTAAATTTCAAGTCAAAATATTTTTTTTCCAAAAAATTCAAAGAAAAAAATCAATTTCAATGTCTTATATATTATTTAAAAATAATTATAAAGATAAAAATTTAAATTTAATACAAAAAAAGATATAACATTAAATTATTTTAATTACCAAATAAAAAGTTTGCACAAATAAAATATAAAAAATAAAAATTTTAATACAAAAATAAATTTAAATTAAATGGGCTGGATCTTATAATTCATCCCAATAAAATAATAAAATTTTATCAATTCTACTTTTACAAAGCCCATATAAAATATTAAAAAATTGGGTCAATAGCCCACATTAAATTAGGGTTTTCTTCTTCTTCCCCAGCAACTCTTCTTCTCTGCAACTCCTCTTATTCCCCAGCAACTCCTCTTTTTCTCTGCAACTTC